TGGTAATGTGCTTTCTTTGCTTTTACTCTTAAATCTAGTTGCTAAAAATAAAAAACGGTTCCCTGAAAATTCAGAATATCTGATTATAATTTTTTTATTTTTCTTCAAGAAGGAAGGCTAGTGGGGAGAACAGAAAGCTCACAGCTGACATCACAGATCACAAGGTGATTTCATCCTTTGTGCAAATGACACTTGGCTGCTAAAAACATCGCAGCTTTGGAGGGCTGTCGAGGAGAGGGTAAGGCAGGACGTTTCCATGTGTGACCACCGGGGAAGGACACCCAGGCTAGTCACACGGGTTGCTTAATTTCCATGCACTCTGAGCCCCACGACTTCAAGGTTCGGCAGCTTCGTCCTTCACAGCACCAAACCTTGAGGTGAAGGACGCAAAGATAGAAGAATGATGGGTTTGTGGTTTATCATGACTTGAAACAGTCCTCTGTTAGCAGACTGGCTAACAGAGACAAAGACCCCAAATAAACCGAGGAGACTTTATACCCCAGTGAAAAGGATGCTGTGTTAACTGTAATTTATGACAAATAAAATGTATAAAAGAGTTGGGATTAAGGTTAGGCAATGCAGGCCATCGAGATCGGACATTTAAAACTAAATAACGATGAACACCAATTGGCCTTAACTTTTGTAATATGAGGGCATTCATCATTTTGGAAAGGGTTTACATATCTTCCCACATAGCTGGTTTGATCATCAGACTACTGAAATGTGGGCTTCCCTACGTGCCAAGTCAAGAAAACCATAGGAGACATCAGAAACTTTGGGCAAGTCTTGATGCTGCCATGGGCCTGCCCACACACTTTGGGAGTTTTGTCTTCCTTAAAGGGGCTCACAAGAACATCTCTCAAAGGACCATTCCTTGCTTTCCATTTTTCTAGGTGAGCTGAAGTAAAAAGTCCAAATGGAATGAGCCAGGGTTGACCATTTTTAAAAGAAATCACCCGAGGGAGTGAATAATGGTGGGTTAAAAAAGTTCTTCTCTAGCTCAACATTTTTAAAGTGGAAGATTGAATGATGAGGTAAATGAAGTCTGTCTTTCCTTGGCTAAAGACCCTTCCTCCCACCCTCATCCCTTTTGACCATTGCAAAACAGCTTTGTCCAAGGGAAGGGGAAGGGAGAAAACAAATAAGTAAAATAATGTCAGACTTGGCTAGTGCCAGGAAAAACACACGCTGATTCAGCTAATTTGTTCTGTTAATGTCAAAGGCTGCAATTTCCAATTATCTAATTTCAAGAAGTGGTAGCTGAAAATAGCTATGCTAACTCTGAAGTTGGTGTCTGATGAAGATTGGGATCTGCAATTAAGAGAACAAGCACTCCAAAGAGGTGGTGCTGTCTGCTTGAGGCCACCCTTCCAAATGAAGCCATGGCTGCTGTGGAGTTTTCAAACAGGGCTTGAATGGAGGTAGGAGACATGGGGCAGTCCAGATAGTCAAGCCATGGAAAAAGGGCCCAAAGATCACAGATTTTGTGTACACTTGGTTTACTAATGACAAAAGGATCCATGCTAGTGAGTCTCTCTGGATGCTCCCCAGTTTGGGTGGAATGAATTAACACAGGCATTTAGTTTGCAGTGTTTCCTGCTCTCGCACCAAAAAGCTCCAAACACAGAAACCAGAACAGCCCGAGTAGCTACTGGGCAAAGCTGAGCCAAAGATGACTCCACCACCTTGCCCGGCTTCTCCCTTTATATTTGAAGTGAAAAGAAACAGCAAAGATTCTGATTAGAAAGACAGAGCATTCAAGGTCCTTGTGTCATGCCAACGGCTTTGATGACCTTGGCATGGGGTGGAAATAAAAATGGAAGTCACTGGTTATGAAGTCACTCAAAATCTGTAGGCGTAGTGGTGCACGCCTTTAATCCCAGCACTTGGGAGGCAGAGACAGGCAGATCTCTGTGAGTTCGAGGCCAGCCTGCTCTACAAAGGGAGTCCAGCACAGTCAAGACTACACAGAGAAACCCTGTCTTGAAAAAAAGAAAAAATCAAGCAGCCCAGGCACACACTGGGATGGCTTTTACCACAACAAGTTCAGTTATCTCCTTTGTGTTATTAAAACCCAGCAGGGAATCAGAGGGCTACCTTCTGTGCTTGCCTGAGTTGTCCTGTGAGTTTCTGGTTTCAGGTTGAAAAGGGAGGAAGATCCCTTAACAAAGCAAAGAACGTGTGTGTGTGTGTGTGTGTGTGTGTGTGTGTGTGTGTGTGTTGGGGGCAGGGGAGTTAAGGAGAACAAATCACATTTTTTTCCTTGAAAAGCCAAACATTATTTTCCTGGAGATGATGTGTCAGGGATCTCGATTTTTTAGTTTTTAATAGAGAAAATGGAAGCAAATCACGGAAGGAAAAGAATATATAAACAAGTGGAACAAAAGTGTCAGTTCAGTAAGAGCTTTCTTCATTTTCTCTTTCCTTTTTCCGTTTTTTTCTTTCTTTTTTCTTTTCTTTCTTTCTTTTTTTTTTTTTTTTTTGAAATCTTAAACCTCATTTCTGGCTTGCATTTGGTAGGATTCCTGCTCTGGCTTTTATTAAAAACAGACGCTGTGTGTTCAGAATCTTCCATCTAAAGTGAGGCTTTAATAGGCGTCAGGGCCTCCAGTTCTGCTCAGGTGACTCCCTCCGCTGGGATTCCCTCCCAGCTTGCTTTGCTGGCCCTCGATCTTAAGGGCTCAGCACAAAACAACCAGCTTTCCCTCTTTCAATTCAAACTCTTTTGTTTCTGTTTTAAATTTGGGGTGGTACACAAAGCCAGATCGAGTTAAGTCTGGTTTTAACTCGAGAGCATTCTAGAAATTTTAAATAGCTCAACTGTTGTCCTACTTCCCCTGACTGGGTCTCCTCAAGCCTGGTGGCTCCCCCTCCTGCTTTGCAGTCCTCACCGCCGTGGCAATTCTGCACGCGTTACTTACTGACTCCCACCCTTCTGCCTGCGTGCAAGCTCAAAAATACCAAAGCTAACTCCACCCTGCTTAACAAATCGGTTTAGCATCCGAAAGCTGATTTTTCTGAAGAGCATTGGCAAGCTAGCTTATTGGAAACCAAGGAGAAAAGCAATGAAGCGAGCAGGCAAGACTTGCACACTCATTACGGAGCTTGGGACAGACACAGGTCCCTCAGGCTTCTTCTCAGAGCAAAACAGACAAAACAGCAGGAGTTCAAGGCTCCCTCAGGACTTTGCCTTCCCACTCTTGAGCCCCTCCCCCCCTTTTCCTCACAGCCTCCATACCATCCTGGCACAGCGGCAGACACTTTCCCAGTCAATTTGAGGTTTTCTAAAGCAATAAACTTGGTCTTGCCTGTAGCAACATTCAATGTCGAAATGTACGTTTTTGATGTGGAAAGGAAATTCTTGTGAAAACTGCCGAGCAGGGGTTGATGAGCAGAGTAGGGCTTCGCTTCCCTAAGGGACAGCTGCCATGTCTGTATTTTCAGTGGTCACAACTTGGGGGAGGATACAACTGACAGCTAGGGACTGGAGGCCAGGGCTGCCATTAATCCTCCAGTGTACAGGGGAGCCAGCCATGGCAGAAACATCAGGCTCTGAGGCTCCCTACTGCCAGCCCCTATTGGGGTGGCTGGCCCTGGGCTCTGGAGTCAGGCTGTTACAGATTAGAGCCTGGTGGGCTGGTGTTGGGCAAGCTGTTTATCTTATTGTCTATCTGTGAAATGTAAATAGTAGCCTATTCTGTTGGCTTCATGAACCTTAAATAAAGGTGGAAGTTCGAAGCCTGAGGGACAACATTTAACTTATTTTGAGAGCAAAATAAACATTACTATTAGAAATTTGGCTCCGTTTCGGGTAAGTCAGAAGTCTACTGAATTTAGAAAGATAAAGAAACTGGACTGAGTATTTACCTGATCTTTGAGTAGGACTAAAAAGATCCGGGTGACAGTACCTACCATTGATTTCTTTTGTTTTCTAGATGAGGAAACTTATTACATCTTATAGGTGAATGAGTCACCCGGGGCTTATGACTTCGAAGCCAAGTTTTTCTTGCATACCCTTTGTCTTCCAGTGTGTGTGTGTGTGTGTGTGTGGGGGGGGGGGGGTTCTCCTGTCTCTGTCCATTGTCCTTTACACGTTGAGGATCGAAATATAAGCTCCACGTGCATTGTGGGAGGGTGGACAGCACGGAGTCAGGTTTTCCTTAATGGGGCATGCGAATGTTCTAATTCTCCACATTAAAAAGTTTAGCTTTATGCATGGGATAATTTTCCTTGTCTTCAAATTTTCTGATTCTGTGGGTTAAAACTGCACAATACCTTATGTCCTTTAAAAACTTCAAAAATGACTGAATATGGACTACCTGGAGCAAGGTAAGAATACATCTTTACCTCAGTGTGTTTCACGTTCCATTACTGATTAGTTTATATTGTTGACAATTAGACCAGAAAAATCTGCTTCTGTGTGATATACAGTCCTCACGGCTACATTATAATCTGTAGATTTGAAAATAACTGCAGATTAGCTTGCTGGAGGGTACTTAGTTTACATTAAAGTTAGTAATATTGGGTTGGTAGGACGGATAAAGTTCCTTGAGCCAATGGTTTTCTAGATTCTTTGGGTAACGGAGAAGGCAAGACTTCATTTAGCTCATGCGCCTCTCATGACCTACACCCAGCTTGCCAACACGCAGCCGCAGCTCTTCACTTGCAAAGCCCTGGGTCTGACTCTACCCCCAGGATGGTAAGATGCCATTCACTGGATCCTATTTGTTTCAATTTCACGAGGGAGACGTGAGAATCTGTGCCAGCTGGTAAACGAGAGGGTTCAATGATCACACGAGATGTGTTAATGGACTTAAGGACCACGAGTGGTCTTGTGCTTACTGCCCCCAGTGCCAGCAGGAAAGCTGCGAGCATGTGTAGGAAGATGTTCGCAAAATTGCTTTTCGTTCTTTTTTTGTTTTTCCAAATAAATGTTGTCTCTTACACTCTGAGAAGAGAACCGAGGAGCTTGGGAAACTCTTGCAGCGCCGCTTGCTTACCTTGGAACACTGGGGGGCGCCCTCGTGGGCCTGGATGGAACTTGTGGAGGGGTGCCAAAGGAGTCACTGCTGTTGGGAAAAGGAGGTAACGGGCCAGGGCGGAAGGGGACTGGGGGAGCCCCGGAGTGGGGTCCTGGAGAGGGAATGGCAGGCGCTGGTCCACGGCCAGACGTGGGCCTTGTAAGGGACGTACTCAAGGTCGGCCTTCTTTGGGTGGTGGGGCTTGAAGGAGGCGACCTGAGAAAAAAGACAAAGTTTTAACTTGTTCACGCTTCCTTCTCGCTTAAATTAATCTTTTCCCGCTTTTTAAAATTTATTTTTGGCTACATAACTTAGATTCGTGTTATAAGATGCCCACGGGCATAAAAGGTGCTAAATGCTGAGACTTCAGTTTCCTTCCCACATTCTAGTTTCTGGAGACAATAGCAAACAATTGCTGGTGTTTCTATAACACAGAAGCATGTGACTATTTTCTCATGTATGAATGCATGAATGTGTGTATGTGTCATAGCCTACCCTCTCCTTTCTTTTATCTTTCCATTTGGGGACTCTCAGCACTATTTTATTCTTTGATACTCTCAAGTTTCATTCTAAGGAAGCATTTGACTCCTCCTGAACTTTTCTCCTCTTTCTCTCTGGGTCTACACTGGCTTCTTTAGAACCCGAGGGTAGACTAGCGCAGAAGAGCTCAGTGCTGCAGGACTTCGTCCCTAACCTGCGGGAATGCTGGAGCCAGGAGTCATCTACTGGAGGTGGGGCTGGGGTGGACACAGTGGCTGTGTTGATGTCACCAATGATCACAAGGGCTTCTTTCAGGGCTTGGTACATTCGGAGCACCTCATCCCGGCGCTGAGCCTGCTCGGCAGACTCTTCCATCAGAGTGTTTTGGTCCTCAGAAGAATAAAGTTGTGCTAGGAGCTCAGAGTTGATGAAGTCTTTAACCTGTGAGAAAAAATAAAATGGAAAGGAATAAACACAGACTTCGTGGACACAGCTCACAAATGTCCTCCCCGAGAAAAGGGAAACGCCATACGACTCTTCGGTTTGCCCCTGTTGTGGTGCAGAGAAGAGCTTCCTCTGTTTTCTGGCTTTCGGAAGAACAGTGGTAAAGACAACTGAAGGAAGGTCAAACCTTGCTACTGCTAGAACAGGGCTCACCAGCTCTGGGAATGCCTCATGAAGTTGTTAGAATATACTTGGCTTATACAACAGGAAGTTCCCACAAGGTAAATTGTAGTCCAACAAGTTTTCTATTCCTTGGCATTCCTAACCCTTTAGCTAGATTTTTTTTTTTTTTTTTACCAAAATAATCAAACATTATTGAGTCAAAGTTTTTTGTTTGTTTTTGGCTTGCTGTTTGTTTGTTTGAGACAGGGTTTCTCTGTGTAACCTTGGCTGTCCTGGACTCCTGCTGTAGACTAGGCTTGGCCTCAAACTCATAGCAATCTGCCTGCCTCTGCCTCCTGAGCAATGGTATTAAAGGCATGCACCACCATGCCTGGCTTGATTCAGAGTTTTCAAGGAATGGTAAAGGCAGAATTAGTAAGTATAAGCAGAGATTAGATATTGATTACAACTATATATGTTAAAAAAAAAAACTGTGGAAGTTGATTTCAAGCAAAGTAAAAGAGATTGAGTCAGAGTTGAACAGTATTTTGTAGCAGGATGAGAATAGAAGTGGCATGACACAGAATGAAAGTCCCCATGCTTCAGCAGATCTAAACATCAGCCAGCCACTTTATATGACACTAAGGAAAAAAATAAGTTATTCAATGATAACATATCCAGATATCATTGAATATTATTAATATATGTTCAAATTAAATGTGAGAAAATGAATCAATGAAATATATATGCCACGCTCCTTTAAAAGTTATATGATTTAATTCAACTCATAGTGATGAAATAAAATTAAAACAAATTTAGGGAGTTTCAGCGGCTTTTTCAAGGTCATACAGCTATAAATTCAACCTAAGGTCTTCTAATCAATGCTAATTAAATGTCCTGAAAACAGATCATGACATTTAAATGCTTAGAAAAGACAATTTACACTTCTTCATCTTTCTTTTTGTCCTCTTATCATCATGCTGGTAATCAGGGCCTTTTGCAGAAGTATACACTCTACCAGTGAGCAATACCACCAGTTTAACTTTGATAGTTTCGAACAGCTAGCAAGTATGGTAATTAATTTAAAGCAAGAAAAATAAACCAATTTGAAGTTTTCAGTCCCTCTGTTATTTGAGAAAGCTTATCTGGATTAGTTAGATCTAGATAAAATGCCAAAGCAAGAATATTTGTTTAAAATTCAGAATGATGACAGGTGCTCAGCTAGGATTCCTGGATTGGATTGGAGTTAAGACTGCTACTCGAATGAGAAGCTTCTAGAACACAGCTTCGTTTTTTAATGGAGTTTTTAAAATTGAGAACACCGGAGGTGAGCAAAAGGGCAGGGCTGCATGCAGGTTAGCATCTGTAGGTGGAGCCAATGGGTCCCATGGGCCAACGGGATGGGATGCCTTCCTATGGTCTTTTTGTTTAGTCTTGAGTATGTAGTTCACGTCACGGGAAGGAAGGCATCCAGTTTAGCTGGTGTACGATCCCCAGATGTTAGCATGAGCCACTGTGAATATAACTTCCAGTCCTGGTCCAAGACTACGGTCATAGTGGGCCAGGTTGCATGCAGCTCTGTGGTGCCATTCCAGCCTGACCTCCATAATTTCTACGGAAGTCTGGGCATTTGCAGAGACAGACCAACCAAGAGTATGTATTGGTAAGCCTTCAAGATGGGAGATAAAGACAGTTGCTGCCAAGTCTCAGATAGTGAGTTTGACCCCCCGGGTTCCACATAGTGGATAGAGGGCAAGGACTCAGGCTCTTTTCAAGTTGTCTTCTGGCAAGAGGTCTGTAGCACTGTGGGTGAACACGTACAAACCGCAGCCCAAACTGGGAAGACAGATAACTAGCCGACTGCACTACTTGCCCAGAGTGAACAAAGACTAAAGTCCAGCCTGGGGAACTGGTGGATCTTATTTCTTGAGAGGAGACAGGAGAGGGGACCCGTTTCATTTTTGTTATAAAGGCTTCAAGTATGTAAATAATTTCACTGGTAAGAACATCAGCTAAATCAGTCTTGTTATGGTAAAATCAACAGCGTTCCCTGCATACATTTTGTAAACCAAGAGTGATTCAAACACGGGAGAGATGTATTACAAGCTGTATTCAGGGGACTGTCTGGTGGATAGGGAAAGTAAATTAGGTTAGTAAGTCTAGGGCAAAATATGAGATCTCTGGTACGAATGAAATGTGTTTTAAACTTCATCCATTTGGCAGTATGACACCATGAAAGACTTTTAACAAATAAGTGAAACCGGTCATTAGGAAAATTAATCTGGTTTTAATTGGCAGAAAACTATAAGCTTAGTAGTAGACAGAGACCCAACAGGAGGTTGTTTACTATTTTTCATGGAATGATGGGAGTTTGTCTATGCCACAGTAGAATGGAAAAGATGGGTACACGTGAATAATATTACAAAGGAAAAATCATCTTGTGATGGCATGAGAGGGGCAAGAAAGAAAAGATCACTTAAAGGTGTCTCTGGTATTGATATTTGGAGAACTGAAAATCAGACGGAAAAAAAGAAAAGTCAGATTTTTCAGGAAAGGTAGAAAATTTGGCCTTAGAAATATTTCACGGTCTTTGAAGATTTATTCACTTCTAAAACACACATGCAGGTACCCATGGGGACAGAGACATTTGCACAGACCTTCCATTGTTGGGTGTGTGTGTTTATGTGTGTGTACACTTGGATACGAGGTGTAACTTAAAACTCAAAACCAGACAGTTTCTCTGGCATCAATCATCAGTTGGGTTGAGCTCTTTTGAAGCTTTACATCTTGCTGGAGTATCACTTAGGAGCTATTAAATACAATTTTAAAAGAAGATCCAAGAATGGTTCTAAAGTGGATCTGATTTAAAGCAACAGCTCAACTACAGCATAAAATAAGGAGCCCTGATAGTACCGTGAACTCACCTGCTTTCTGTTTTGCCTTCACTTGGCAAAGTTCTGAAAGAATATAAGGGTTGATAGAAGAAGGAAAGACATGTTGTTTTTGCTGTATGTGGACTAAATTGGCATTAGGTAGGCAGAGGCAGGGAACTACAGAGAGCTGGTGCAATAGTGTAGCTGTCAAGATACATGCTTAAAGACCCAGCATGGGTTAACATTGTAATTTGGATATAAGGAAAAGTTTAGGCTGTCTTCTGGCTACACTTTCAATGCTACAATTGGAGTTTGAAACAACCCCAGTTGTTAGAGGTGGGGACATTTTGTGGGGGGGAGTTTCCATATACTTCAGGGCTTTCTGAGCCATTTGTGTGTCAGCGACACAAATACTTAAATCAAGGATTCTGCAACACACGCATGCCCCAGTGGATCTCTCTTAGGTGACCACGACAGACCAATTATACTTGGACGGGAGATTTGAAGCAATATTTATGCTTTTAATTATAACACCTTATAACCTATACATCTTTGTGTGGCTCACAAAATTTCTCACACACAAAATCCCATTCCAGCTCAAACTCTGCAGGCTAAATAAACAGGCAATTACCACACCATGTCCCACTGCTCAGTGTAAAGGAATGTGAGGTCATTAAAAACGTTCCACATGTTTTCCGCCTCCTAACTTTTAACCCTTCCCTAGTCTCCTGGAGGATGTTTGGCTCTTAAACCTTCTTTGTTATGACTGAGCCATTTTAACACCTTCACCAAGAGACAGTTTGGTTGCCTGGGAGACTGTTTCCCTGAAATCTCTGTCTCTGTGTGAAACAGGGTGATGCGGCTCGTTTGTGTGTATAACATTTTCCCTAAATAATTTCATTTTGTTCTTCTGGGGGTGTCCTAGTCAGGTCATCGTCCTCCCATCTTTTTTTCTTGCCCAGTGGATTTAGTTTTGTCATTTCCCTTTTTCAAAACATAACCTCCATGGACTCAAAATGCTGAACAAAGGAGGTAAAAAAAAATACACATCCTGTAGCATCCAAAGTCCAGTGATGGGCACAATATAAGAGAGAGTGGGAGTGTTCCTTTGTTGGGGGTGAAGATGAGGAAGCACGCTGTGAATTTTTTGAGGGGCCGGAGGCTGTTTGGCTAGTACAAATGGATCACAGTTTAAATGCTAGAATAATGGTCTGGCAATAAAGACATATTTTTCACTAAACATTGAGAAGAAAACTACTCCATCTTCTTTAAGGTTGCAGGATGTTTTGAAACTATGACCCATGCTACCAGTTTTCCACCAAAGAGCAGATGACCAGGAGGGTCACTGTGGAGCCGGCAACACCATTCCAAGTGTGGAGTGCCTCCGGGTTTATGTCTTCAGTGCTGATTTTTTTTTTTTTAATAAGAATTTATAAGAACTTTTACATTTCATCTTGCATTCTGTGAGTTTGTTTGAATGTGAGACACGGTGTTTTAAGGTTGAAGACATTGAGATACTGTTTCATGTTCAAAGGAATGCTAAGTAAATCTTTGAGTCATATGAACTCTCTGGGGAGATAACCCTGCGGCTATCCTGGGTGGGAGAAGCCCTGTGGGTCACAAGGGCTGACTGAAGAGTTTTTCTCACTCCCAACCCCATGTGTTATCTGCTGCTGAGTTCAAGATAGTATCGTACTGAGAATATGACCCTTGGTACAGTTTTGACTCTGACACCCCCACTTTTGCAATCTTGGGCAAATGACAAAACTTTTGGTGCAAACAGAAAAACTATCCACCACACACGCTTTAGAATAAAGTCGGATTCCTTCATTCTGTGATGGAGTACTCCTGGTGGGCTATGAACTGTGGGGGTGACACCATTGTCACAGGCTTGCCATTGGGTTGTTATGTGTGCTAGTCTTAGAGTCCCACACACAACTTTGCTGCTCAAATTTTAACTTATGGCCGGCTGTCATGAATTCGCTGTGCCTTTGTGCTGCCGTTACCTGCTATGTTTAAGTGACGAGACAGCTGCTGTGTTTCAATAGACAAAGGCTTACAGTATGTCTGAGGCCAGGCATTTATTGCCTGGCTTTAAACTTCTTAAACAATTCCATATGGAGAGCTGAGTGGCAGAACACTTAATGTAAACTTTCAAAGGAAACTGCCCACTGAATCTCAAACTTTATGAAAAGCTGGCTGAAACATACTCCTTTTTCAGGAGGCTGGATAACCATTCCCACTTCAAGGGTGAAAGGCCATGGACCAGGAAGACAGAGAACCCATCTTCAGCATTTATTCATTCTGATGGAAAACCAGTTTACAGAATAGGTGGAATTCAAACTACTTTTGCTAGTTGTGATTCTATTACTAGTTCTCTATTTTTATCAATTCAAGTTGAATTAATACAAAGAACCCCAGCTTCTTTGTATGGTATGGGGCCATTGATTTATTAGGTCTGTTTCTTTGTGTTTAACAGGATACATGTGGGATGAACAGAAAGGCTCGGGCATTGAAATTCCATGAGAATGTGAGTACATTGTTTAAAAATGATTTCCTTCTCTATTTGAAAAAAAAATATAGATATGAAGTGTTTTCATATGTAGGTAAATGAGGCAAAATAATAATATTCAAGAAAAGTCATCATTGCAGGTATCTGAAACTCATTTCTGAGAGATGAAAAAGTTACATTTCTAGCAAAGACCGTCATCGCTTCATGAGAATGCTGCACGGCCTGATGGTTGGCTCTCTCCACACCCCTCTTAGTCTCTGCTGCAATGTCTGACCTTGGAGATCAGTTCTTAATTGCAGTCTCCTTTCCCATGACTCTTGTGTGAGGTCTCTCTCAAGATAACTGGCAGAGCTTTTCCTCCAAGAATAATAATCTATAGGTGGGCATTTCATGAAAGCAAGTAAATTCAGCAGTGAGAAGTTAGAGAAATTACAATTATGTGTGTGTATGTCTGTTTTCATTTAATTTTTGAGGTGAAAGTAGAATAGATTTGCAGTAGGATTTTTTTTTCTTCCTTTTAACTAATTTGTGTCAAGCTACTTTTCAGAGCCACAGACAGGAAGTCTGATTTCCTGTGCTGATGATTTAATATAAGGCAGAGCAAAGCGGAGTTTGAACCGAAGGCAGGACTAATGACTCTCGGTAAAACAGTGGAAAGATAAATGATCCCTAATCAGGAGAATGTTTAAATAAGCAAGTGCCTGATAAACCACAGCAAAACAACCTGAATTCATTTACACAAAGCTAAGAGAGTAATTTTCAAGACACACAGATGATTTGCTCGGCACTTTAGATTTCTCTAAATGGCTGGCAGCCACATCTGTCACATTGTGTCTGACAATTCCATGAGGACCTTTCATGTTCCCGCTGAAGTTCCAGAAATGACCAGCTTCAGCTCAGAGGGGCTAAAGTCCTGACTTCAGGTCAGATAGCTGACCACTGACCAACCACGGTGATATTTGTAGTTTCTACTTTTCCAGTTCATTGCTTACCTGCTGCGTGGACTTCAAAGCCTCATGTTTATCTTACTTGGATACACAGACATAGTCAAATATATGTTTGTTCACATGAGTGCTCAGGGCTTCTTAAAATAAAGGCATATATAACTGCAGAGGATATAGACAAGCAGATTGTCATGGAGAACTTTAGAAATAAATCTTGAAACACAGAATGACTAATAGTCCTTAAATGGCCAACCATATTAATTACTTACATTTGTCACAGTGCCTTGGCACACCCTATTCTTCTGGGACAAATCCTTAAGTCAGGTCTACTTACTGCTGCGAGTGGTTTGCATACAGAAGACCCAAACTCACTGCAGCCAAGTGGTCACATTAGATCAAAAGCTCAAGAGCCAGGTGCAGCGGCCAGCTTTCTCCTGAATTCTAGTTTAGGACTCTTTTACAGTTTTACAGTCTGATTTTTGACTTCTCACAATCCATGTTTATAACATATTTAAAACAAAAGATGTCCCTGGGGGAAATATGTATAATGTATACATATATATATATGTATATGTATATATATGTATATATGTATAGATATGTATATGTATATATATGTATATATATATATGTGCTTAGTTTCCATTTATCGAGATTCATAAGAGCCAGTTTCTCTAATAACTGCTTCTGTCATTTGTACTTAGAAAAAAAATTCAAATTGCATAGGTTGAATAAGAATATGTCCAGCCTGCTACCAACCAAAGAAGGAAAGATCCAAACAAAACAAAACAAAAACACGAATGGCTACAGTAGCAGGGTTCTGAAAAATTGGTGGTTATAGCATCCCTCCTTTAAGAAGCCAAGCGGAGATGGGCACAGTGGCTCACCCCTGGAATCCCAGCCCTTGGGAGGTTAAGTCAGGAAGGGTACCTTGAGTTCCAGATAAGCCTGAGCTATAGAGCAAAACCCTGTCTCAGAAAACCCCCCAAAAAACAATATGACTGACTTCAGTGTCAGGGAATAAGCCAAGAATTCCTTTCCTAGGTGAAAATAGCATTCCATAGTTTATAGATGATGAAAGGATTGTATTGACATATGCTGTGTAGAAAAAACATTATCCTTTGCCCTTGGTCTCAAGGTCTAGGAATATAGGCATCTGATCTCATTGTTAACGTTGCAAGTCCATGAATATGGTATTCTTTTCTCCCTTCTAGAAGAGAGCCAATTAGAAGCAACTTGATGCTGTAGCTGGAGAAAATTGGTCAACCCCTTATAAAGGCAGAGCTAGCCACCTAAGCACTAAGTGCTTCAGTTATTCAGAAGACATCACAGAGACACTCAAGGTGCTCAATTTCCAGACGTGGAAGGGTTAGAGGTTAAGAGGAGAGAGTCTATAATCACTTACATTATTGATCATAAGGTGCATTATTGTTTTTGGAATCAGGTCCCGGATGCATTTGTTGATTATCGACATGTAGGAATCTACCAGGTTGCGTATGGTCTCCACTTGCCTCTCCAGCTGTGGGTCCATGGAAAAGTTTTCTGCTTGGCCATTCTCATCATTTTCAGCCTGACAGAAAGGACACAACACGCAGATTATTTCATGTTCCCTCAGAATGAAAACGCCAGACATCAGATGATTGGTTTCCGCTCAGAACCCTGTCAGACCCTTGCACATGTTATTTGACTTGAAGCAAACACTCTGATTCTGAATGAACATCAAGACGAGTAACCAAATAAACAGTGCACCCAACCGCGTACCTCCAGAGAACGACCTAATCGTAAGCCATTTGTAAGCTGGCCAGAGGCCCAAGTCCAAAGAGATGGTGCAGATGTGAGCCTCTCTCTGGGAGGAGTCTCTAGGGATCCTATAGATTACAATAACCTTGACGTAGCTCTGCTGGGGCTGCTTGGGATCGGATCAGCCCAGACTTGGAATTCAGCCCCCCTAGGACTGGCCAGGAGTCCAAATTCAAGATCTGGAAGATACTTCATCCTTTCACGAACTTGCTGGAACGTGTTGTGTAAATTCATGCTTTCTGTCACCACTGTTAAGCACTGGCTCCATTGTGGGAAACTGGCCATTTTAACTTCCAACGTGTTATTCTTTGAATAAAGCAGAACCCTTTCATACACAAAGAATTTATTTGTGCAACATGAGAGAAGCATCTGTTTTCTATACTATACAACTTGAGTTAATTAATTTTGGCTTATCCACCCAGAGGCTGGGCTGGAATGGCATCTTCATCATTAAGACCTGACCTATTGGCTTGGCATTGGAATCAATTTAGAACAAATGGTCTCTATTTTAAGTCAGGTTGAACCATCTAAACCTCAAAACATCATACAGATATTGTTAGTGGTCTGGCTACTTTCTCATATTTGGAAAGATTTAATTATGAATGTAAAGGGGGAATAATTTATTGCTTCTAACATTGGCATGGAGTTCTTTCCTTTGGAAATGTATGTACTTTGATCTGCCAGGTTTTCAATCAACTCCAGGCCAAATGCTGTGCTAACTGACTGGATCTATAAATGACGGGCCTTTTCTTTGAATTGATACACATGTATGAAAGCCACATTTTTAGGCTACAAAATCATCAATAATAAAAAAAAAGTACAAAGAGATACATAAAGTGTCTCTTTAAAAATATTAAAATATGGTATACTCACGCTAAAAATTAGTGGTCCTTTTACATCCTGAGAATGTGGTGGCTTCATGCTTTGCTGTGGACTAACAGAATAAGGGGATATCCGGGGCAACTGAGTACAACAGCAAGGCAGAAGGCTGGGATACTCAGAATGCTAGTGATTCTGCTGCTTTTTTTCTTTTTTTTAAAGTGCTCTTGGGTCAGTGAAAGAATTAAATATGGTGTAATAGTTCTGGTCTGGTCTTCCTTCCTTCCTTGCTTCCTTCCTTCCTCCGTTTTTAACAAATTTGTGACAAACATATTTTAGATGAAAAAGTCTAAAACATTTCTGGTTAAAACCTTTTTTAAAATGCAAAACTACTACTACAACCCACCCCTCTGTCATCTGCAGAAGCCCCCTCTTTCTCCTACTCTTGCTTGTTTGTGTAGACCCCCTTCATATTTCAAACCTGCTCCACCATTACCTCTTCCAGACAAGCTTTTGCTGCCTGAAGGCCTTCCACTACTTTTTCCTCTGAACTCACTTTTGCACTTGCTGGTATTATCTACCATTCATTTAATTCTGTGCTCTCCCTCCACTAGAATCTAAGACCATATTTCTCCATTCTTAGCACAGAGCTCAATGTTATCAGAGAAGGGGGAGGGAAAAAGGACATAGTTCTTGCTACAAATGGATTTACCTACATCAATGAAACCGAAACTGCCCAAATATGCAAAACATAGAATTTTGTGGAGAAAAAAAAAATTTTTTTTTCTATGTAAAGTTATGCGAGCCTCCTCAATGATGACAGCATGATCTAGTTTGTTTCTCTGGCCTAAAAGATTTGTGGATTTCACTGTTGTATTTATCAATGGAGTGTGATGGCATTTCAATATTAACCTGCTCCCTCTCCCAGAGTCCGTTTTCAGCATTCACTGAGCTTCAGCTACTGCGATAAGCACTTTGTGTAGGAGAGCTGCTCCTCAGTGCTAAGAGGTGAGCACCAGGTTTACTGTATCCTACAGGAGCATGCAGGGCTCTGTGTGTTGAAAGCCCTTCAACTAGTGTAAGATGAGTCTGATTTCAAAAGCAGGAAATATAAAACAGTATAGTTACAGTACATCAACTTAGTTCTATATATGAAATAATAAAGAGTTTAAAAAGAAATTTCTAGGAAGATGTCATTAAAATACTGATATTCTCAAGAACTAAATGACTGAACTGAAAGAGGAAAGCTGAATCAACAAAACACATTGAACCTCCGGGAGGGTGGCGGGGAAACTATTATTTGATTTCACATAGAAACATGACACCTCACCATTCCATTCCATACTACACTTAACATTTAGCCTTTCTTTACATTTGCTTATCAAAATGTTTTTATGCTTTTTGAAACAACCATCAAAGTATCAGAATGAACAACAAACAGTGGTTTAGTGGAGAATACACCCTAGGGTGGAGCATAGGCTTAGGACTGTGTCTAAAGGGCCCCAGTACTCTGGAATAAAAGCAAGAATTGGCAAGGGGGATTGCATGTAATGGAAAAGTGTCTGCACACAAAAGGAAACAAGGGAAGCAACAGCCTACAAAATAGAATCTTGACCAACTGTACATCTGATGGGGGATTAACATCTAGATTCTATACAGAACTAGTCAAATACTAAGGTACTCCAAATCATCAAGACACTTCTAAAAAAAAAACTAGATACAAGTAGCCAATACATACACGGCAAAAACAAAACAAAGCAAAAATTCAACATCCTTAACCCTTGAGGAAGGATAAGTCAAAACCATAGTGAGATAACATATTACTCCTGTCAAAATGGCTGTTCTTAAGACCAAAACCAAAATGACAACAGTAAAGGCTGGTGATGATGACTGGAGGGCGCTTGCACACCGATGTAGGGAACAAAAATGAGCTCAGACTGTGGAAATCAGAACGGAGGTCCCTAAAACAAACTACCCTATTATTCAGCTATGCCATTCTTGGGGATAGATCCAAAAGAATGTAAGTCACTCTACCAGAGATACCTACTCGGTCGTGTTTTCTGGAGCACCTCTCACTGTAGGCAAGCTATGAGATCTGCCTTGGTGTCTCTCAACAAGTGAATATATGAAGAAAATGTGATGGACTTTTTTACTCTGCCATAAAGAATCAAATTATGTTCTTTGCAGAACATGGATGGGATTGGTGCACCCTATTTAAGTGAAATAAAACAGACCCATTAGACAACATCATGTGCTTTCTTTCATGAGAAACCTAGGTTTACACACACACACACACACAGGAGTCAGGGGAGTAGACATGGCATGATGTACCTGAACAAGATATCATTATGAACTCTGTTAATTTGCATGAACCATAATACATGAATTAAAAATAATGGGCACATTCTGAACATAAAGAGTTAAAGGCATGCCCAAATAGCCAACGAGACGATCTGAAATTCTACTTAGCTTTTGGAAATCTAGTGGACTTGTATCACATAAATCATAACGATGCTGGGACTGCGATGGACACAACAGGGAGCTCATGGGATCCAGAATGGGAATCCGGCTTGCTTGGTTCTACGTGGAAGCCATAACTGGCCTCTCTAAGGCCTGGTGAATGGGAAAGTGTTTTAGGTAGAAGTTTTTAGCAGATTACTTGCAGCAAGCAAACGGTCCTTTCTTCTACCCCCAACCTCAGCTCAGTTCCTCTTGCCTCTTTCTGGTTGGACGCTGTGCAGGAGTACGGATTTTTTTTCCTTTGTTTAAATTATAGGATTGCAATTGGATTCTTTAGAGTCAGAGGACTGGAGTGACAGCTGTTTATCATTATCCTCATCAAGGGAATGTAAAATAAAAATAGTAATTTGTCTCTGATCTTTGGAGCAAAAACAGAGTGGTCTGCAAACATTTAACCTTTTATGTGCAGGTTCGTTGATGCTGTTTACAAAATGTGAATAATACCATAGAAACTTATTTTTTTTTTCCTGAAAAACGCAATGGACAGGCTATCTCGCATGTTTTTGTCTACATAGCTCTTTGAGAAATCTAATTAGAGCAATAAAAACAACCTTATAAATATGAAGTTTATAAATTAGTCACACAGTATTTAAGAAACTGTTTTTACAAAGTTTTAACTGAAGAAATGATTACATATTTGCATATCATAAGTGCAGTGTATGGCCCTCTTTGTGGAGCCCAGCCTCTTCTGCCACATTGTGGGTCCCAGGGATCGAACTTGGGTCATCAGGTTTGGCAGCAAGCACTTTTTATCATCTGTGCCACCTTGGTGGATCCCCAATTTTTAATATAAAAGTTGCATGTTACTTTAAATAGGTGAGGGGGTAAGATATTAAAGAAGAGATAATTTTTATTAAATCTTGAAGACTCCCTTTCAGAACTCTGAGTGTGACTGGAACACCTAATTTTTACGTCTTTTTTTATTTTTCTTAGAAAAATTTCCAATTATGTTATAGGCTTAAGGGCCTCTGGAAACATCCAGAAAGTCATGTTGATCATCAACCTTTCAAAAGTGGGACAATGGACATTAAAAGTGTCCAAGCAGTAATATGTAGATAAAAATATCAAGTCCTCGGGGTTGCTGCATCTTTTCTCAGCAGTGGAGAACACAGGATAAAAACCTGCGAATCCATACACACCTTTTTCCAGGTAACCAACAGTTGCCCTCTTTAAAACACTTAATATGATTATATAGTTCAAAAAATGAGCAAAACTTATATATATATACACACACACACACATATATATGGTTGGACTTTTCCTTAGTGAACTCAGTCATTATTATGAAAACATTGTTACCATGGTAATGAAACTTCAGATTTTTCCAGCCCCACGTTATTGGAAATGTTTTCACTGAAAACTTTCCCTACTTCCAATCATTTGCCTTTAAGTTGTTAAGGGCCTGAAGGTATGCAACCACACTTGTGCAAA